TAATTTCTGTTGCTAATGGCGGGTACTGCTTTAGAGTAGGTGGTTCAATTGGATAAAGATATTCATTCGATTGCAAGTTAAAGGTAATACCTGTGTCCAGACTAAAGACCGTTAAGACTGGATGATTGATTGTAGTCATAGATGAACTAGAAAATGAGAAGAATCATTGACGATTGTCAGGAGAATAGAAACTACTTTTGTTCGATCGTTTCTTGAACATCGGTAACTCCTGTACTTGTTGATACTGCTGTATTCGATACTTTCAAAAGTCGATTCAAAATTGCATCAGCTCGTCGAATGTTGAAATATATTTGTTCTTGGTCTTGGACATAAACTCGATGAACGTGCTTATGTTCGTCAGCATAGAGGTAAACTTCTCCGGGAATAATTTCCCTCAATGGTTGATTTTTCACATGATTAAAAGCGTCTTGAATCTTTTGGTAAAATGAATCGTAGTCAAACACTTTGTTTAAGTTTTGATTAACATCATTTCTGGAACGTAAGATATGAGCCCATAAACGATTTCCATCGCTGACATGTGTTACTTTCAATTCAATTTCTCCAGTTGTTGGTAAATAGAGTTCATATGCATCCGATAATTCTTTATCATCCGTTTTCTGCTCGATAAAATCAACATCATAGTGGAAATTATGTCGATACGGGCAACGCTTGAGTTTCTTTTCACTTAAACACTCACCGAACGCTTTCAACGTTGGACAAAATTCGACATTGACTTTGGCATGTAAAGTTTCACGGCAATTGTTTTTAGCTAAACGTTCAATTAATGGATGTAAATATGAATTCGAGTTTTTGATATAATCAATCAAATCGTATGTCACTTGTGCACAATCACCAGGCCAAAGAGTTACAACCAATGGAATGTTCAGCGAGGAATTCAGTTGGTAGAAATTATCAATGGATTTTAACGAGGTTAAACTTGTTTTTTGGAGATGATTTACATTTGTTGGATTGTAAAAATGATTTGAGACAAGTTTCATACGTTGGTGGAATAGTTGATACCAAATTAATCGCTGAACGTCAAGATGAATGAGAATATCTGTATTATCAATGTGAATATCGTTCAAAATCTCGTCTTGGATAAGCAAAATCAATGGACGATCAGTAATTGTTTGCCATTCATGAATATACTGCTGAATTTCATCGTGATGTAATTGGGAATGAATAAGAATCGATTGAATCGATAGATCACTGAGAATACTTTGCATTGTCGCTAATCGACGTGTTTGATATGCACACATGAGAACCTTTTTCCGGTGACGACATGCTAAATCTAATGTCTCTTGGATAATATTCTTTCGTTCGAACCAATTTCGACATGGTTCACAATAATGAAGAAAGTTTTTATACGAATAAGTTTCGAGCATCGATGACGAAAGATAATAATAGTTTGGATTCGAAGAAAATTTTTCCAAAATCAAATCTTTCGCTTGTTGGGTAACAGTTCGAGAGAGAAAGACATGCTGAGTTGATTTGTTTTTACTCGAATGTAATTCGAGTAGATTGAAAATCTCTCGGATCGAATCCACGTTTTCAAGAAGAAGAAGATCAAATTGATCATACTAGACAAACAGAGTACAAGACATGGGTCTCTCGCTTCGAATTAGTCACTACTTACAACAATCAGTTGAAGTTGTTCAAAATGTATATGACGTTTCTGGATTAGATCATTGACAACCGTTGGTGTTGCAATGAATAGATCACATCCATGTGTCAACAGTTTCTTGTATAAATCATTTTCATAATTTTGCCCTTCGTACACACAACACGTTAAGACGTTTTTCAAAACATCTGTCTGCACATTGGATAAATGCTTATAAGTGTTTTCACAGGTAAACCAATCTGGTGTGAGAATTAACACTTTCGGATAGACAATGTCTGAATTTAACGATGGATAATTGCTCGTCGTACGATAGAAGAAATCCCAGACTAGAAGATCATACTTCAAAACAAATTTAACGTTGCTAGATTCTCGTATCGGTAGATGATCAACTGCCCAAACATGCGAACCACGATGAACTAACGGCCAAAGATAGGAAATAAATGCTGGAAGGTAATCAGTTTGAATGGACTGGATTGGATTGACATTTGCATTACAGTAGAGTGCACTAGACAGAAATAGATGATACGAAGTAGATCATTGAGAATATCTATTTATACCGAACATCTGGATGAAATTGTGAATCAGATATTGTAGACCATGGTTGAAAACTTGAATCAAGATTATCCGAATTTAATAAACATAAAGATCGTTCACGTATATTTGATAATAACATCCTTTCTTCGTTATACGCACTAGACTAAAATGTCAAAACGAAGCAGATGAGACATTTTATGGTTCAATAATCTCTTACATTTTTTTTTGAAAATCCAATTTAACGGATAATCGATCGAACCTCCTCATACTGATCGTTAATCCAATCGGTTTTAATTACCGAACACCGAACTAACGACCTCTATTCACAAGGACTTTCATAGAAGAAAATAGAACGAATGACTGTTGAGTAGGCTTGTCTGGTTGTCTGACTAACTACTGACTACACATATACGAAAATATATAAATAATAGTAGCGGTTGTGTTACTTCTCCACTTTATTTTTAGCTTCACAAGAAAATATACTATGAGCACAAGCAATAAAAATGAAGTTAACTCTGAACAAGAAGTTCGTGTTTGGATGGATGGATGGTAAGTAATTATATTCTTTTCATCAGTCTTAAGGAAAGTCGACAACTACACGATGGATTTAGCTCTGATGTTTATCTGAATGAGCAATGAGTCATATGATTAGCGTTAATCATCATGAGTGTTTATATGACGCCACTATAGTTCTAGCATGAATTATCTGACTGTAATTGTTCATTTTTAGCTATGATATGGTTCATTTTGGTCATGCTAATGCTTGTCGGCAAGCTAAACATATGGGAACCTACTTGATTGTTGGTGTTCATTCAGACGGTTGGTATCGATTCTTTTTCTTATGATCTATTTCCACTAGTTAATTTTAGCGGAAATAACGAAACATAAAGGCCCACCCGTATTTACGGAACAAGAACGATACAAAATGGTTCGAGCGATCAAATGGGTTGATCAAGTTGTAGAAGATGCGCCTTACGTAACAACATTAGAAACATTAGAAGAATACAACTGTGCATTTTGTGTACATGGTGATGACATAACAGTGAGTGACTAACCATTTTCTTTCTTTCTTCTGATTATTCATCTATTAAAGGTAACTGCTGATGGTGTCGATACTTATCACATCGTCAAAGCAGCAGGTCGATATCGAGAATGTAAACGAACTCAAGGTGTCTCCACAACAGATCTTGTTGGAAGGTGGAGATGAAGTTGTGTTGATTATTTGAAGAAAGAATGAAATAATCTTTTTAGAATGTTATTGGTGACCAAATCTCATCATGAACCAGATGACATGTTGCCAGATCGAGAAAATACACTTCGAATGAGTTTATGTAAAGAGAGTGTCAGTCCATGGACTGGTGCTTCACAATTTCTCCCCACAACAAACAAAATCATACAATTTTCCAACGCACGTGAACCGAAAGTAAGTAGGACAACAACAAAAAAGTACATTGAAGTTATTATTCGACATATCACATTGACTATTCACTTAGCCTTTTGTGTTTCTTGCATTAACTACTTTTAAATATGTCTATTCTATTTTTAAAGAAACGAAATGGAAGTGTGATATTTTTTAGCCTACTGATAAAGTTGTTTACACAGCTGGTGCTTTCGATCTGTTCCATGTTGGTCATGTGGATTTTCTGGAAAAAGTGAAAGCCTGTGGAGATTATGTTATTGTCGGTCTACATTCAGATAAAGTAAGAATTTACAAGAGAAATTCGTTTGTTTAATCCATCAATCATCGATCTTTTCAAAGGTAGTCAATCGATACAAGGGCAGTAATCATCCAATTATGAATCTTCACGAACGTGTGCTGAGTGTTTTAGCCTGTCGTGTAAGAGCAAATATTTTTGAGAAATTAGAGATGCTGAACGATCCATCTCTCCGTTTAGTATGTTGATGAAGTTGTGATTGGTGCACCCTATTCAGTGACATTGGAATTGATCAATCACTTCAAAGTTTGTTGCGAAAGAAGGCCAATTCATAGCATTATGTTTCTCCTTTCATACAGGTCTCTTGCGTTGTTCATGGACAAACACAATACGAGTCGGATGCAGATGGACGAAATCCATATGAAGTACCGTTAGGTCTTGGCATATTCAAACAAATCGATAGTGGAAATCCAATGTCTACGCAGGATATTATCACAAGAATTATCGACAATCGGTTCGTTACTTTGAATTATATCAAATCAAAAAAGTCATTGTGATGTTTATTGTAGATTAGAATATGAAAAGCGTAATAAGAAGAAAGAAGCGAAAGAAGCTGCCGCATATGAAGCGTTCCAAAAGTTGAAAGCTGAAAATCTCAATGAGTCAACTGCTGTTAACGTTAATCAGCAAGCATGAACAACAAATGATTAATCTATGTTCCTCTTCTTCTTCTCTCCTACTGATAAGAGAATTTGATTGTAAGAACAAAACTAAGCATTTTATATCTTGTTGGTTTTGCATGTCTATTCTTTTGTTTTGTTTTTCTTTTTTTGTTTGTGTGCATATCTTAAGATCATTTTATTAATTTTAAATCACATTGGCAACAGGCATAATTTATCATTTGACTTCATTAATGAATTTTCACTAACACACATCGGAAGGTTAATCGGACCTCTAGATATGTCCAGGTTTTCATGGCAAAATTAGTTGATCGAACGCAATATTCGGATGCAATTATGCATGACATTCGTCAATAATTCATCTTAATCGGAAATACAGTTTCCGTATTGATATTAATGAAGAATAATGTAATGACATAAAATGATAAAATCATCTGAAATGACACGGATTTGATCTCAGAGAAAATCATTAGGTTTCTTAGTTTGTTACAAATAAGCAGTAAGAGAAACATGCGGATCCATCGTCGTGATCGAACCTATTGGAGATCAGTCTTGGGGATTTTGGAAAGTTTGATTATGGTAAAACAAATTGATTTTCTATGAACGACTGACTTTGATGGTACTTTTGCAGGCTTGTCTCTTGTTTGGTTTAATTTGTGCATTGATTGCATCAAATCTATGGACAGAACAAGCTAATTGGCTATCACAAGTTTGTTCGGATTCTACCAGCAATACTTATTGTTGCAATTTCACAAGCAATTTCTTCAAATTCTTCTCAGCAAGCACAGTGAAGATAGCGAGCATCACTATTTTTGCTTCTTGTCTTTTTATTATCATTGTATTCTACTTAACTCATACCTTCCTTGGTTTACGCAAACGAAAAACTTGGAAAATAATCACACGACTTGTATGTGTTTGTAGAAAGAATTACTTCCGAGAATTGTATTTCATGTTTATAGATCGCTGCTATTTTCACTCTCTTGTTTCTGTCGATCTTAGCTATCTCGATATCTGCTATCTATCGTGAATCACAATTCGGTAATCAATACACATCGACTAGTTCTTCGAGAGTCCAAATAGGTGCCGCTTATGCGATGGCTGTAAGTTTTCTTCGTTTTTTCATGTTCTCATGCTTCTCATCGTTGAGTTTATCCTAGAGTCTTGGCCTGATCGCTGCATCTCTTCTCCTAATTGATATTATTTGCCGTTTATTAACTATTGGATCAGTACAAAAACGACAACGAAGACGAAAAAGACGTGTTAATGTTATATCTTAGATAATTGAACAGAAGAATTCTTTCAATATTTTTTCTTCATATACATATATAGAAAAAAAAATCGTCTGTGAATTGGTTTTTGAAATGAATGGCTTCTTTCGAACTGGTCTTAAGCTGAGGAGGCAGGAAATTTCCAACGAAAGATACTTCCATCGGCGCTAACAGAGATGATATGTTGAGTATTAGGACAGATTTTAACTTTTTTCACTTCACTACCATGACCAATACCAACACTGATCACATCGCCTTCATTGTAGCGCCATAACTAAATATTGCATGTGTTTTTATATGAAAATAAATATCTGAATTATCAAGTGTGACTTACTTTCACTAATTTGTCTGCGCTGACTGTAACGAAATAGTTACCAGCATTGTCAATGTCAAGGCCATTAATTGTTCCACTTTTCGATGCTTCAAGTTCGCGAATTTGTGCACCGTTGGCTGCTTCCCAATAGCCAATTTTACGGTCAGTACCACCTGTGACGATATGATATTCTTCAGGATGATAAGCAACACACTGAAAAAGTGTATTTTCAAATAGGACTTGGTTACGAGCAAAACGTCTGAAAATGAGAAATTCAGTCGATATTTTCCGTTTCAACTATTCCTCATACTTCAAATTCCAGATAATACATGTACCATCAAGCGATGCGGTAACACATTCAGTGTCGGATTTGTTAATACGAATGGAAACAACAGCATTCTTATGTTCTTTCATTGTTGCTAATAATTCGCGTGAATTTGCATTAATTTGCCAAACTCGAATCATGCCTTCACCACCACCGCTAATAATACGTCGGCAATCATTGGTCACTGCAACGGCTGTAACACCACGATGATGTGCATCGTTAATTGTAAATATTTCGCGACCTGATTCAGGATAGAATGCACGAATACGCCCATCATCCCAACCACTAAAAGCAACACGTTGGCTTTTTCAAACTCAAAACTTTACTATTACCTAATGATCATTTTGCCATCGCGAGTAAAGCAAAGTGAGTTACATGTTTTATTCGCTTGTGAAATACGCAATAATTCATTACCAGTTGGCGCATGCCAAATACTAGAACACAAAGAGCGTATGAGAATTGCGAATGAAAAAAAATCTTGTTGTTCTTCATCTACCGAATATCTTGATAACTGCATGTACCGAATAATTCTGAAGTACCACTAAAAAACGAAATCAAAATTCTTCTAAGATCAATATACGAGTATATATCGCTTACAATGGAAATGCAATGTCATTAATCTGAGAATTATGACATGTATTGATTAATTCCATTTTCCAATCGCCATAATTAACTTTATAGATATGTGATCGATCGGTACCGATAAAAATCTACAATGAACAATCGTTTTCCAAGTTTGAAACAAAGTGAAAGATAGCATACCATATGGCCTTCACCTCTTAATGCTAACGATGTGATTTCGCCCAGCGCTTGTAAAGATCTATAACGAAAGGAAGTCATGTTTGAAACTTCTTTTCGAAAGATTCTTTATTTGTACTTTAATGATTTGAATGTTTCTTTTTCTGTTATGTGAATTTTGCCTTCACCTGTGCCAACTAAAACATCACCATTTACTAGTGCTTGCATGGCAGTAATACCCATCGAGTATTTTTTCTTTTCCGGTCCCATTGTTTTGAACTGAGTAGCTGGAATATAGATCATCAAGACATCACCTGTTGTTGTTCCACAATAGAGATGTGTGCCATCAAGTGATACCTAGAAAGTAGCAAAATGATTTGAAAATTTTCCGGACTTCCCATGTACTTACAGTCATACATTTGATGATACGTTTAATGACGCCTGTATTGATATCCGTTGCTCGAATTTTTCGATTAGCTACATCTAATTGCCAGAATCGAATGGTACCACTACAGTGACAAATGTGTTGATTAGTTTATCGAATAGTTCCTATTAAAATAGTTTCTTACTTTCCAGCACTGTAGAATTGTAAGTCATCTTCTTTTGCTGCAGCCAAACAATAGGTAATCCCAGCGCTTTTGGGCTGAGCTGGACTGCCGCATACAGGTTCTTTCGTGTCAACGTTCCAGACAATGATAGCACCATCATCTTGACCACCAAGTGAAATTAAGAATCGATCTGATGCGGAGAAAACTAGATCTTCAATTTTGACCTTGTGTAAAACAAGGCGCGCATACGGTTCGCGGTTAGCATAATCCCAAATGATGATATCGGCCTACGAAGGATTTCATTCGATCAGCAACAAAAGAAATCATTTCGTCAAAACGCTACCTTAAAGCCCATGAATGTAACTTGACCTGAAGCAATGTATTTACCATTATTTGATATTGTTACACAAGAGATATTATTGTTATGTCCGAGAAGAAATTCTTGTTGTCGTGTTTGCAAGTTTTCAATAACTAAGTTACATCCCAATGGATAGACCATATGAATACGGTCCGGATGTAATTTAAGGCCATGAGGAACTTTTCCTGTATGATCAAAATAGGACTAGGAAATGTTCAATGCTTAGAAAGATATTTACCTTCAAATCCGATAGTTGATTCAAGTTCAAGTCTTTGCAATGTATCAAGTCGTTCGGGTTGACTATTAGTGGTTGTCATCGTGAGCGATGGTTGAGTTTGTATGATGACGAGAAAGAAGAGTAACAAAACACTAACACACTGTTTCTTTTTTGCAATTTAATGTGTCGAAATGTTGACAACCATTTTCTGCATACCATCGCTTAGCAATGACCAAGAACAAATATATCTATCAATTTACGACATTCAAAACAAAGTGAACACGAATACGATGATCAACCAAGAGAATCATATTTTCGCATGATTTTGTAGCTTAATTGATTAAACTTTATTTTTCTATCATTGATCAAATAACTAGCGACATCTAGTTAAATACATCTATATAAAGCAAGCGACGGAAATAATGTGCGGTGGAACTTCGAAGTTATTACGATTGGAAAACTATGACATGTTAACCTATCATCAGCATGTACGAGAAGTAGGGTGGAAAGTACCCAACAGATACATAAACCACATCGATATGTTACAAATGTTGACATATTCCATTCTTATTGGGAACATTCGTTTCGAAATAAATTTTTCCTCAATGAGAAATGTCTGATGAATACGTGTATATTTATATATTCGTGACATAAACAATAACCGACAAAAGAAATTTAAAAAAAAAAGAGAAGAAGACATAAAAAGAAATGGAATTCGCATTCTCTTAAGTATTTAGTTGACATACAAACATTAAATGAGACAAAACGACAAACAAAATAAATCTATCTTTATCTATTTCCATACTATACAACACGCTGTCACTGGACTATCAGCGTCGGTAATTAATTTTTTATCTTCACGTATGCCAAAGCCAGCAAATAATCCATGAATAATCCAACTACCGATAATTGCATAGTAATCATCATATTTCGGTAAGGTGAACAGTTGTTGATAGATACAATCACGGTCTGTAAACTTGCCTTGTGTTTCATCCAGAACAGAATCACCTTTGACATCATATAATGTTACATTATGACCACAACGTCCAACGATCGGCTTTTTCACGTACCCAGCTTGTTTTAAGTCATCGGGTAATGTCCATTCGCTACGTAATAGATGTGGATGATTAGGAAACATTGACCATAGGACAGGCAAAATTGCTTTGTTACTTGGAATAACTTTCCATAATGGTTCAATAATCTTAATCTGATCGTTTAATGCAATTTCACACAGACGCGGATGTTCGCCATTGATTTTCTTGTTTAATTCTCCTGTTTTTCCAGCTTCTAAATAATCCGTAAATATACTCTCCCACATCCATGTTTTCCATATCAGCTGAACCTCGTGACCTTCATTATCTACAATTTTCGAATCTTTCCAATACAAATCATCATACAGGATACACAATTTCGAATCAATATTTGCTTGTTTTAAAACATATTGCATGTATAATGACGTTAAGATTTCATCTTGATCGTTGTCAATTAGAAGGTGAACACGTTTGACGTTCAAATGTGAACAAATCAATTGCCAGTTTTTGAGCAATAATCGATGAATTTGAAAGCCAGACATAAATGAATTTTCGAGCTTGACGGCTTGTGCCCACTTTTCTTGAATAACAGCGAATTCGAATAAGGCCGATGCACTATCAGCATTGTATTCGAAAACCTTCAATTGTTTCCCATCAAATGCTAAATCGAATCTTCCCGTCAACGATAAGTCTTTATCATTCAGCCACGATTGACGAATCTTCGGCCAGAACACTTCTGGTATACAAAAGCGTTTCAACATATCATCATTTTCCACGACATAGTTCGTTGCATCTAAAAACATCTGGTGTAGTTCATTTGATGTAGCTCCAATAGATAAAGTCAAATCTTGATCAACTTTGTAATAAGGTAAAGTATCCGTATCAGCACGAATTAGATTAGGTCCATATAATTGAATGAAATATTTCTCAGCCGGATCGTCTTCGTTTAACCAATGGTCAATTTGATGAAAACTTTTATCAGTTATGGATGAACGTTCTAATTTGCCAATCGGATTCGCTTCTTGATATTGTTTAAGTATCAAATCGAGTCTCGTTTCATCCAATGGTTGCAATTGATCTTTATCATCAATTTCAATCCAACCACATATATCATCTTCATCCTGTATATAGTAATTCCCATCCTCTTTCTCTACTAAAGGAATTTCACGCGCATAATTATCTGACCAGCTATGATAGATATAATTCTGTTCGGCAATGCGTACAAAACCGGGAACGACATCACAGATGACCGCCACATGACCGAAAGGTAATTCAGCATTACGTGGATAGATTAGTAATGAGTCAGGTTTAGGTTGATGTGGTGAACCATTCGGATAAAATTTCAATGGGAATCGTTTACCATCGATAACGCATTCGACGTATTTCAAGTCGTTCCACATATCGGCAGCACATGGAATAGGTGGAAAAACGCAGCTTTTACGCATTAGTAACCATCGACGAGCGAACTCAACGCACTGCCATTTAAAACCCATAAAAATTCCGTGTAAATAATGACGTTCGACGGAGAAAAAATCATCATCACCATTGGAATATGCATGAACATTCGACGAAGCAACGCCTTGAACTTTATTATATGGTAATAGTTGATTTTTACTTTGTAACATGATAGATTCCCTACCGAGAAAAGAATGAATGATATGTGAATGTGTTTTTTTTCATATAGAAGCATGTTATCTCTCCATATATATATATATATGCACACAAATTAAAGATAAGGGACAAAACAGAATGAAAAGAATTGAAGAGGTGTGTATGTATGCGAATCGAAATCATTGTTTTCTGCGCCTTCAGTTTTAGTCGGAGCTATCTTGAAGGAAAGCATCGATTAGTGCTCACATCTTTCTCCTCAATCTGTGATACGAGAATGGGAATGTCGCTAGAGTCTTCGGGAAGATTAGAGAGGTCTGAAAAACAAGTCTTGTGAGAGTTAATCGAATAACAAAGTTGATGAATATTTCTGTTTCGAAGAGAATAAAACACTCACATTTCTGTCATAGATATAATGTAATTTTCACAATTGTATATAGAAGTAGATATTGGTTTCAATTGTTAATGTATTGTTGCTTGAATTTGCATGTGTTCTTCAAGAAATCGAAGAAAAAAGATTTATATATAGAAATAAGAAGGAAAGAAAAGTTTAACAGTCATAATGACAAAGCAAAAGCTTTGCTTTGCCAGGTTATTTGATAGTCTCGAAGATTCTGTGTTCATGGTATTGATGATTGTGTTTTCATCAGTTCTGCCGCTTCGTTTCTATACGTAAAGAACAACTCTCAGCATGATGTCGCAAAAAAGGCGATGACGACTATAGAAATGGTCCTTTATTTATTTCACTAAGAGGATGCATAACCTTATAGACGCGAAAGAACAAATACACGATGGAATAAGAAACGTGCTTGTTAGAACGGAAAAGAAGTCAAAATAGGCTTTATACAGAAAGAAATAAGCCAACAGAGATAGTAAATAATAGTGCAACAGAATAAGAAAAATAGAAAGTTGATGGTGGATTTGAGACACACGATACGTACATTGAATGAGTTAGAAAATCGAAAGAAAATTATTTAAATACTTCTCGGTGCCGAGGTTGAATATTATAGAACGAAGAATTACTGAGAGGTAAAGTTTAACAAGTAGATGTTTACGTTAAATCGACGTTGGCAGAAGGAGACGACAGAATGAGTCATTTTAACCAATAACAAACATTGTCAAAAGAGTAGGAATCTGAATGAGTGCAAAGATGGTGTGTTGAAGAGGAAAATGAATGATGAAGTTTTATATCGACTAGAATTTTCTTATTGTTTCTAGTTTTTGAAAATGACTTCGATTATATTGATGTATTTTTTCAACAACAAAACAAAATCTATTTCCATTCATTTAAAAACGCTGTATGAAATGCTCGAAATCGTTCGACCATGTCTTTCATTTGATTAATCGGTGGAAGAATTGTTGTGCGCAAATGATGTGTACCAGGTCTTTGTTTAAATCCACTACCAGGTACCACACAAATACCAGTCTTTTCTAACAATTCAAAACAATAAAATGCATCGGGTGCCATCTTTTTTGATTTAGCATGTTCGATTGCACGTTGAGGTAGATCAACACGTGGAAAAGCATACATAGCACTAGAATACAAACATCTTCTTTTGTAATTTATGATTAGTTTCTAAACTCACCCCATGACAGTATTGCATTGAAAACCTTCGATTGAATTGAAGAGTTCACTGACAAGATTTGCCTTTTCTTTCAAACGATTAAGAACGTCTGTACGCTCTTTTTTATACAATTCATACGATTGTTCACCTTCCTTTGGAGGATTAATTATTGCACCCATCACAGCTTGACCCCAAGATGATGAACATAAACATGCGGATATCAATTTATTAACTTGCATTCGAACATCTTTATCGATATTAATCAGTTCATAGTAAGCACCACGAGAACCACATCTCCAAAGAGAATAAAAAACATAGTAATTCGAATGTTACTAATCTATCTGAACTCACTCGCCATGCCAACCTTTGGATGCTGAATGAAACGAAGCTAAATTCATAAAAGAAATAAGTAACAAATCGTTTTAGGTCGAATGACTTCACCCATTTCCATATGATTGTATGGTGATCCTAAATCCATCAAAACTTTTTTAAACGAATGAAATTTCGAATCGGGCAAATAAATGTTTTCTTGATAGACTTCATCGGCCAATATAAATAAACTGTGCTTTTCCGCTAAACAATCGAACGATAATATGTAGTCACATGATACGACATAAATTCTTACCGAACCGAATGATATTTTCGATATTTTCTCGTGAAAGAACTTGACCTACACAAAAAGATAACAACAGATGACGCAATATGAAACAAGTGTTTTTTCGTACCTGTTGGGTTTCCAGGATTAATTATAACGATACCACGTGGTACACATCGATCCTTTGATTCATTTAATGCACGTTCTAATTCATCAATATTCAATGCCCAATTGTTTTCTTCATCAAGATAATATTCAATCTGATAGGCACCATATTCCGACAATGTTGCACTATACAACGGGTATTGTGGAACAGGTATCATCTAATAATAAACCAGTACTATATACAAACAAAGATATGCATTCGAACATACGATTCCCGATGGTTTCTTTTGATCGGTATTCATTAACAATTTGATTACTGTTTTGATTCCATCAGAAGCGCCATTACAGAGATAGATATCACTTGGATTAGCTGGATAGCCATCTCGTTCTTCAATATACTTGGCAATATCTTCGCGGATGGTAATTAAACCTTGACTTTCTGTGTATGCTCCTAAACTTTCTCCACCACAAGCGGATAACAATCGCTGAGCACGTTGTTTAATATCCGATGGAAAATCCGGTGATTCCATAATTGATGGACATGTACAACCAGCGACAAGCTATGAGAAAATTTCCATATGAATCCATAATACAACTGATCACAATAGATTCTTACTTGACGAATGTATGTAATCGGATGTTGATTTCCACTGGCATGACAATCGCCGATGTTTGCACGAATGACACGATCAAACGGGAAATTGTGATTTCCCTAAACGAAAAGTCGATGTTTAGAGATAGAAGGTTCAGTTATAACCACACCTTTTTAAGTTGCCTTTCAATTTCAGCAGCACGAATCACGATCGGACCTCGAACAGCATATTCTACTTCAATCACACGTGGGTTCAAATTTTCTATCGTCAATGTTCGATTATTCAGAAACGCATCAGTCATGATAGCTAGATATGTCGCGATACCAAAGTTAAACTCTTATCGAAACAAAAGACAACAGCAGATGTCTAATATATATTCTTACATCTGCCTCCGTGAAAAGGAAGAAAAAAAAGAGACTGTTACAATTACAAGGCGCACTATATGATATGAATGACAAATCAAATATAGATAATAATGCTAAACAAGCATAGAATCCATAAGTTAAAAAGTTTTTGCACTATTGACAGAGAACTCAATGGCCTTCTGAGAATATCTGAATTAGCACATAAATGAAACGTTCGATTGATGAAAGTTTTGGAAATTAATGGAATAGTGTATTTCTGTTTTTTCATAGCGATATATTTGCCATAAAAATCCTCAGGAATAATCATAATGACTGTTTCAATGCTGATCTCTAAGTAAGATACTGACAAATCTTATCTGACTGATAAGCGCGTATCACTTCGTTGAAGGCGAAAGTTGAAAGTTCAGTCAAATACGGATTGTATCACAAGGTATAATTAGAGAGTACTTACATGCGAAATATTAATAAATTGTTCGAAGAAAATCGAGCGTTCATATATCATTTGTATCGTTAGTGTCGCTAGAAATCACAAGTTGAATTATGAAATCATAGAGGTCGTTTCTTGTTGATGAGCTTTCATCATGGTTGTTGTTTCCATAGTATCGATAAAAATGCATATCTACACGTAATTCTTCGATCGAATATCTTCAGACTATCATCATATCAAAAATGAACCATGGAGGAGTGCGAATAAAAAATGCTCGCGAAACTTATGTTGACCAGTTACCGTATGGTCGAGGTATTTCATTTCGAAGTTCAGGAAAAGCTTGATTTAATTCAAATTGTTCTTATATTAAGGATTGACGGGATATATGAATAAGAAGCGAAAGCCTTTCACTCATTTGAATACAACCGATGACTTTGATCTTGGATATCGGAGCACCCCGGATTATTTACGGCAACTAGCACAACAAGATTCTTCCATACCGACTGAATTACTCTTAGCAAGAAATGTTCCTCGCACGAAAAGTGCCAGTGAAATGACTCCAAGAAATAATGGTAAGAACACATGATCATTGTTCAAGGTTATGTTTTCAGTATTGTACGTTTATTTTGTAGTCAGTCGGTCAACAATAGGAAATCCGAAATATAAAGCACAGGAAGATTATTACGATGAAATACAATCATTGAAACAGGTTCGACGAAGATGTTGTACAAAGTTTTTGTATAACCATTTGTCTTGTTGTTGTTGTTTATTCTAGGAAATGAAAACATTACGAGAAGAAAATAGTAATTTTCGCGCCAAAATTCGGCGCTTGGAAGAAGATAATGCTCGGAAGATAAAAGAGATCGATGCTCTATATAATACGAATAAAGTAGTTAATTAACTAGATGCCTATTATCTTCAAATCAATATTCTTCTAGGATGGAGATCTTCGAAGAACGTTAACCGGCCCATCGACTGATCGAAACAATAATAACTCCTCAACTGCGGTTTGTTATTGTTCGTGTTTCAGTGCATACGATTCATTTTTCATATTCTAGAGTGTTGTTATGAGCTTAAAACAACGAGTATTCAAATTAGAGGGTCAATTAAAGCAGAAAGAAACAACGATTGAGTATGATCTGAATAGCACATTCAAAATATGGTAGAAATTATTCTATAATTGTAGTGAAATGAAAAGCGATCCAAGATGGACGAAAAGTACTGAATTCGAAATTCAAAATCGTGCTCTGTTCAGTGAATTAGAAAGACAAAAAGTAGCTCGATTGAACTACATTCAACAAAAGTAAACGAAATTTGATATCACTTTCTTGCAGCTTACTTGATTTATGTTTAGTGATTATATGGCGACGTTAGATGAAGAGCAAAAGAATGCTGTACGAAAATTAAATCGAGAGAAGGATGAATTAAGAAAAGAAAACGAGAATTTGAAGAAGAAATTAGAAGATCATGAAAAAGGAGGTCGTGGTGAACCAGGATCTGTGCGTTCATCAGTACGTACAAAATTTTTTCGAATATTATCGACGATTTTAATTGAATGTTATTCTTTCATGCAGGATCGTGGTAGTGACTCGAAATTTCAACACAAGATTGATAGTCTTCAGAAAGATTGTGAGCATTACGAGCACGAACTTGAACAAATGAAAGATGATTTGAACCAGATGCGTGTAAAACGTGATCAGTTTCGAGATAAGTACGATCAAGCCAATGAAGACCTCGCAGAAGTCAAACGTGAACGCGATCAACTTCGTAAACGACTCGATGAAGCCAAAGACGAACTCGAGAGATATACAAAGCAGAAGCCGACTGGTCGTTCATCGCCCATATCTCGATACGATGATGAAATACATGGCAGTCCGAAACTGAAGTCGGCGTTTCATAGACCTCAATCGCCCATGGACGGAAAACGAACAACACCGCCATTGAAAGTTTCCGCAAAAAATATACATCATAACAGTTGGACTGCGTAAGAGAATACCTTCGTTGTACTTCGTAAGCGTATCTTTGTTCGTTTGTTTTTCAGAGATGATGACAGACGTGTGAAAAATTTCCGAGAAAAACGGGCTGCTACTGTCATTCAACGAGGATGGCGGGATCATAATAAAGAAAAAAATAAAGCACGTGATTTCATGAGAGCAAGACAAGAAAATGCGGACAAAGTAAATACTGAAACTTTTTCCAATTACAATCCATTGATTTTCTTTAGAGGGGTTCAAGAATCGGTTCGCCAGTGGTAAAATACATTTCCAAATCAACACTGTTTTCATACTCATTTATCATTCTTGTTTTTCGTACTTAGAGACCATCAGAAACGATATCATCACCACGTGCAAGTGTCAATTTTGAAAGACCTGGTAGTGGTGCGCCAAAAAATCGGCCATCATCAGCAAACAATTCTCAAGATGTAATAGTCAACCGAGTAAATGTTATTAAAATTCGCCTTTCTTCATAGTCTGCTTTGAGAACGGTTCAAGCTTCATTGCGTGGACATTTAAATCGTAATGAGATTGGCAAAAATCAAGATCGCTCCGTCGATATTCCAGCTCGATCACAATCCCCTGCTCGCTTTGCAAGACCACGACCGGTTGGAAATGACGACGACGATGACGATATCATTGTTACATCGAGAACTTCGCCGACAAAATTTTCGTCGTAAGATATGGAATAATATCCGTTGATAAAATCTAACTAATCTGTCTACTAGCGATAAACTCCGACAAGAATCTCCTGATCGACCAATTGGATCTTCAAAACAAGCATTGCGCAATGGTACGAGAAACAGAAAAATTAATTTTCATTTGAAATTATAAGGTGGATATCCATATTTCATTTAGATAAGAGCGAATACAATAACCGAGATCCTTTGGAAAAATTTGTAAGTTGCTAGGATGTTCAATTACATTACGAATGAATTTTCGATTTAGAGAAAATCTCCTACGTCGTTCGACGTTCGATCTCAGTCACCAATTGCAGGCAAGAGTGGTGGCTTCAAACAAGATTTGCCTGGCGATCGAAGTACGTTGCCTTGAACTGAATATGAACTACTATTTGAATCTACGTCATTTAGACAAATTTGGATCCGGCAGTCGAATATCGCAGAATGATCAGGGATCAGCATCGAAATTGGTGAGTGTATGGAGACAATTATGTATAATTACCTTCTCTTTTATTCGGTCAATAGCGTCGTCCAGCATCTCCACCGAACGACAATCCTCGAGCGCAATCACCGGCCCTCGTTAGAAATCGTGATTTCGCTCAAGATATACAAAGTGATCGACGTATGCACACGAGATATCTGTGCCATTTCTCTATTCTTTTCGTTCTTCTATTGTTCAGAGAAATTTGGGAGTGGTACTCGGATGTTAGCGAACGATCGCGACTCACCTGCGATGGTAATTAACATACGTTTAGTGTTGTGCTTTATATGATTTCTTTTCTATTTTTTAGCGTCGACCTGCTTCTCCGCCATCTGACGATCGTCGGCCTTCAACGCCACCCGTCGGTAAAACTAATAGTTCTAGAACAAGTCCATTGAACGATGGAAGTGCGTTCGAAAGAATCATTCTTATTCAATTTTATGTTCTTTTCCATTTTTCCTTTTAGGTAAACTTGGTTCAGGTACTCGAATACGACCCAACGAACGTGATTCCGCTCCAAAATTAGTAACTATCTCATTTCTACTAAAACCATCCCATTGCACATCAATTTTCTTATATTTAGGCACGTCCTTCTTCTCCGTTAGATGATCGTCGGTCAGTCCGTCCAATCACGCCAGAAAATCCCTATCCAGCCGCAAGAAAAAGTCCCAGTAATTCCAAACAATCGCTAAAGAACATAACTGAACATGACGACGACGCTGATGTCTTCTAACGAATAATCGTTTTCTTTGAATTTCTCTCTTTTTTTTCTATTGGGGTGTGTATATTTTTTATTTGTTTCGCATTCAACCGAAGTAAAAGAAAAACGAAAAACAATGTCAATTTTTATGAACAAGAGAAAAGAATGCACATATATTCATTGAAAGGAGTTTCAAACATGAAAATAGACAAGAAACGACAGGTAATTTTGTACGGAATAGGTTCGGTTTTCATGCGATGAATCGCATATATATATTGTAGGATAATATTGTTATGTATCACGATCTCTATGTGACAATGAAGTCAAATGCAGTTTGAAGTTGAACATTATTTACTAAAATTCGGAAAAGACGAATAACGCCAATCAGTTGAATATGGATATGAGGAATAGTAATCTAAATAGTAAAGAAAATTGTTAGGTATTGGTTTGTCTTCTTGCCGTTTTACCTGATGCATGCGGTGGTATTGGAAAATTTGGCCCTGCTGATGATGGGTAAGATGTTGACGATGAACAGAAGCCATCATTAGATTCTAAAAGATCAAATAGCAATGACAATAATGAGTTTAGATGAGTAAACCAAACGAACGTGTTGCTGATACATCAAATTCATTCTTCATTGAATTATTTCCCATAAATTGCTGATTTCCATTATGAAATGACGGTTGAACCGAATGCTCGCTTGCGAAATCATTGGTGTTATAATTCAAATAATTATTTGATGGATACATTGAATTCCATTTGGCACGACGTTGTTCAACATACGCCTGAAAGAGATAGACGAAAGCGCATGAAAATAAGTTGAGGAGATAAGAAGCGATTCGTTTGCTCTACTTTGATGACAAGTTCGGTTAGGCCAGTCGCTTTGACGATCGATTCGATTTGAGCGCTATCCGCCCATGGATTGTCTTTGAAAAATTTGTCTAGAAAATCAATTTGCTCAGCAGAAAATGCTTTCTGGTCTTGCATTTCTAAACGAAGAAAAGAGAAAAATAATTCTAATTCCTCGGAGAATTTTGTCATTTGGTCTTTGTCTAGTTCATCATTTTTGACATTTTGACTAATGGTCTCTTACGGATATGATGACTTGGTCGAGATCCATGATGATGATGGTGCGAACGTTTAGTTGAATATTCATGGGATTGTAAACTATATTGAGAATGATTGAGTAAGCTGTGAATGCTATAACCATTGGGCGATGCTGAAACACCTGTTGCATGAGTTCGACTGTCGTCATCATTGCTTGTTGTACTATTGACAACATGTGGTGTGGTTGGGCCCGTTGTGGTTGTTATTGAAGTTTCTGTTGATGTTGTTGGTGACGAATTAGGATGATGGTGATTGAGTTTCGAATTGTCATTTAAACTTCCACGATTACGAACGATTCTAACAAGAAAGAATTCAATAGATGAAACTGATCAAAGAAGAGGAAGAAAGAAAGAAACAAATAAGAATGGGTCGGCAAATCAATGTCGTCGCGAGTCATTAGTTGACAAATAACATTGATTCTTTTTATTCACATAATACACAATAGAAGAAGAAGATGAAAAATTCATTCACTATACCTATTAATCGAGCTAACACTTGGTACTTTATCGGAATCACATATTCCATCTGCAATCAAACGTTCTCGAATTTCCCATGCAAACATCGTTGGCGCTTGACCTTTATAATTGCTTATAGCATCAACAACTTTTGGTGTAGCAACCTTTGGTTTACTACCGCCGATAATTCCTGGTCGAATGGAGCCTGTTTCATGATATCTAAAGTGTTCAAATCAAAACGCTTGTCATTTTGAGGAATCGAAATTTTACCTTCCAAGAATTTTACTAACACATCCGTGAGAAACACGTAATTGCCGACTTATATCGCATGGTCGCACGCCTTGTTTGGCTAAATCAACAATTGATTGACGAACAAGATCAGGCAACGGTCGACCGTTGACGAAAACTCCACCGAGTTGATTGATACCTCCATGTCCTATGTCGAAAGAAATGATGAGTTGTGATCATAGATAAGATCGATTCAATGGAGCACAAAGGGATGAAAAAAAAACAGAGGGAGGCAAGAATCGATAGGGAAAAAATACAGAGCACCTACCGAATTTGGAATATCGGTATTGAGCTGCAACGAACTGGTTGAACGGAAACATGGTTTCGCACAGTAATAAGTCTCTTTTGCACAAACGAGAGACAGTCTTCAAAAGTCAATGAAGGGAAGAGAAAGACAGACAGAAACACGATGATGAAGAGAAGAAGAAGAAGAAGAAGAAAAAAAGAACAATCTCCAATAGAGCGTTACTGCTTGTGCTATGTGTATATATGTATGTATATGATAGATTGAATATTTCTTCGAGTGCACACAGTGCCAAATGACGGGAAAAGCCAATGATTCGTCTCCAGTTGGTTGAGAGAAAGAGAGAAACTTGATTAAAAGAGACGGCAACAACTATTGTACCGAATCGATATGCATCAGTAGTATTTCGAGGAAAAAAAGAATTGAAATTCTATATATATAGAAAGAGGGAGAGGGGGAGAGAGAGGAAACGACTCCGTTTGTGTCTTTTTTTCTTTTCTCAGGAGAATTGAGAATAGACAGAGTTTGTTATTTCTTGTTTAATAGATTAAGTAATAACATTTCTCTCTTCTGTCGATGTTCAAATCAAAATTTTCTTCCCTTCATTTTGTTTAAAGCATCCATCTCGTCGATGAAAATAAAAACTGTTTCTTTTCAACTTTCAACCAATAAGAAAGGGCTAAAATCACATTTTTGCACTTCCTTCCACCAATGATTCGAATGCGTACGTACGTTTCAAGTCAACTGTTAATCATTCAAGATCATTTCATATGAATGAAACGAAGATGTTCATTGTCGACTTAATTACATATACAACACATTGACATCGATCTTCTTCGTTTTTCTTTCTCTCGAAACTCTCCAAGGAATAACTTGTGACGAAACATTTTAACACATCTGCAGGAGAAAAGAAAATTGTATGAGAAGATAAATTGTGCTGTTACTTCAGTTTCTCAATCGACATCATTACTCAAATCGCAGTTTCTTATTAACAAGAAACTTGTCGACATACAGCGAAAGTTCATTAATTATTTTGTGTTTGAATTCTTCCATTTGGCTGATTTTAATTAAACAAAAAGGCTCTCAACTTGTTCAATTTAAGTAAAAATTGTCTTGTATGCTTCGATGAACGAATGTGATTTCTTTTTGTGTTGTGTCTCTCGCAGTACATCTGTGCAATTTTTTTTCTCTAATACAATTATAAGACAAAAAGAAAAGATGAAGGAAACTGACCAATATGTGTCAAATCAAGGCAAAGAAAAAGATGAAAGATATAATCGATAAATTAGGTTAATAATGATATCGAATCACCAGAGATTTGAAATGGAATTAGAAGTTGTTTTATTGAACAAACAAAATTAAATGAAAGAATAACATATACATGATAAATAGACAATTGAATGTTCATAACGTACAACATTAGATTTCAATTGTCGATGAGGTAATGCTGATGTTGATCGCTTGCATCGACACATTTGTCATACTAATGAATATGAACTTCAACAGGTCAGAAGAATCGTAAGAATATGTTCGAATCAATCGGTACTGTCAGAGATTTAAATGAAGAATACATCTTATTTATTTGAAATAGAAAAAAAATGCAATGCAAACCAAAAGAAAAGATAGGTATCTAAATAGAATGATGAAAAAAATGTAAGTGAATATGTTTAAAGAGACAGCATACAATAATAAAAATGTCTTCAGCACACGAATATGACAAAGATAGAATAGAGAGAGAGAGGGAGAAAAGAACAGATTGATTTCAAAAGCCCAGAAGAAAAATATTTGACACATCCACAAGGCAAAATCACTTCTAGATTAAAAAAACAACCTACAAGAAAGTATTTATGGACGGTACGATGAGATTAAGAATGTTAGAAGAAGCGCAATGTAAAAGCAGAAAAACTGAATAAGAAGAGATTAATGCGAATCGAATGGTTTGAATTGAAGTCGAATTTTAAAAAAATGACGAACTAGTCTAAGGCAATTAGAAAAAAGACGTTCACTGTTAGAAAACGATGACACTGGTTTCGTAGTTTTATTTGTTTCTGAGAACTAAGGCTTCTAAACGAGTACTTGTTTGTCCTTTGTTTCACAACGGCTAGTCACACTGTTCTGAAAGAGTCTGACATGTGTGTGTGTGTGTTTTCTAGTCTCCAAAGGCAGGTGTAGAGAAATATGTAAAGTGAGAGAGAAGAAAAAAATATATATGAAATTGAAAAAAGTTTTAAATTTTCAGTAACGTGGTCGTGAGGCTCGAGCGCGCGAACTTGGTGATGAAGGACCGAGTTGAGATGGTGAGGCTGCGGCTGCCGCTCTCATTGAACGTAAAGCAATCGATGGTGATAGTGTACGTCGTGTTGGCGAAGAATGACGTACAGGTGGCTCATGAATATCAGCTAATCGTTTGGTTTCGTGATCTAAAAGAATCGGATCAAGACCGTGAGGATCTTGAGAAACGAATGATAATGAATCGGTAATTTCGCGACGAAGCGCATTGATTTCTTCGCCATTTACTAATGAACGATTCAGAAATGATTGACGTTTACGCAGCTCTTGATGAAGTTGCTCTTTTAATGAGGTAATCTGAAGATTTCGAAGACAAAAATCGAATCAAGCGATTTGTAGATGAAAACCAAGCGATGTTACCTGTTCTTCGAGACCTTTAACACGGGCTCGATGTGCTTTCTCTCGTGCTTCTAAAGCACGCTCAGCAGCGGTCTGAGAAGATCGAATACGTTCAGTTTCAGCTTCTGTTTCACGTCGATTTCGTGTTGTCAAGTCAATCAAACTAAAAGAAAATATTCATCATTATTGTATTTACGAAAATTTAACAAGATCAACTACCGTTGTGCATGTTGTTGTTCGGATTCATTTAAAGCTGCTTGTAAGTGTTCGACTTGTCGTTGTAAAACGATGTTTTCTTCTTCTAGTCGACGGAATTGTCGATCGAATTCCGCGCGATCCCACGAACGGATAATATCTTCAGTGACTACACGTTCACGTTCGACCTATGGGAAAATTTGCTACTCGACGAACACATCGATCAATATGACAACATACTTTATCCAATGTTTTTCTCAAAACATGTTTATCTTTTTCTAAACGTAGTTTGGATCTTTCAGCTTCGCGTTTCTCCAGATCAAGGTTGCCTAATTGGCGTTGTAAAAGAGCATTCTTCTCTTGTAATGCTTGTTTATCAGCAGTTAAAATCGAAATCTTTTGAATCACTTCTTGTTCACTCTCTTGACGTTGAACAAGAAGCTAAAACACAAAGCAACGCATTTCTCTTGTCTCCGTCATCGTTCTCCTTCAGTTTGTATGACATACTGTATTTGCATTTCGTAATTGATTTTCTAATTCATGTCGTCTCATTTCTGAATCGGTAACTTCGTTTTGCAGATGATGTACACGTTCGAGTAATTCATGATTTTGTTTTTTAAGTTCACTAACTTGTGATCTAAACAGACAACAGTTGTTTCGTTGTTGACATTTGAACACAATCGTGTCTTTTTTTACCGTGATTGTTCAAGTTTATCTTGGAGAATACGACGTTCAGATTCGTTACTTTGTAAGGCACCTTGAATACCACCAAGTTTTTGTTGTAAGTCAGCTGCTTGATAATTCGTTTGAGATAATGTTTGATTTAATGATTGGACGCGATTTTTCAAGCTTGATTCACCTTCTTCAGCTTTAGCTAATGTCAAAGAAAGACGATCAACGCTCAATTGTAAAGATTGACATCTTTCTTCGCGATCCTAAACAAGATGTTTTCTTTTTTCCGTTCGATCATCATTTTTCCTAATGATTTACTTGAATTTGTCGAATTAATGTTTCACATCGTTCTTGATGTACTTGAATTTCGGTGTCTTTGTCAGTGAGAATCATATTTAAACGTTGAAGTTCACCTTCCAATCCTCGGCGAGTCATTTCCAGCTCAGTTGCACGAGCTTCGGTTTCATCTAATGCACGTTTCAATTGACGTTTTTCATCTGTCAAACGTGATTCGCCCGACTTTGACAAGCCAAGCTTTTCCTAAGGAAATCAGAAGGCGTGTCTAAGTTACCGTTTTTTCGAAATCGGTGCACAACTTACAGTTAATTGTTTCTTTTCGTTGTCCAACGATATCAATTGACGTTCAAGTGCAGTCATTTGATCTAACATTGTCTTTCGTTCACGTTCGCTTCGGCGGATGGTGTCTTCTTGTAATAGTAAAGCATTTTGAGCACCTTGTAGACGAGTGTCCACACCTTTTTTGTCTATAGAGGGAATAACCAGTAAATGGATACATGTTCCGAATGAAATATTGATAATTTACCTTCTTCGAATGACATTAACGTTTTTTGTAATTGATTAAAACGTTGTTCAGTTCTTACAAGATTATCTTCTAACTCTTTGTTTGCTCGACGTAGCACAGCAGCTTCAGCTAGATGATAAAGAAAAGAAGTATTATTTCGATGGAGATCTTTTCGTTAAATAGTTGTCTTACCAGCGCAATCATCGCGTTCACGTTCGGTAGTAATAAAGTTTTGAGCAAAGTCACGTAGAGCTGTACGAATTTGTTCGGGATCAACATCAGCTACATCAACATAAGTTGAACCAGGTGAACGACCGCGTTCGCGTTCACCGTCATAATCAGGTGATCGAGAACGTTGATGTGGACTTCGTGATGTTCGTCGTAAGATGGGCGATGCGCGATTTTCGTTACTATCAAAGCCTTTTGTTGGTGAAATTGGTCGGCGACGAACTGGACTTGGTGAACGACTTCGAAGTCGGGTACTACTGCTACTGCGTGAACCATAGCCAATTGTACGACGTAAACTAGACACAATACTGCCCAATTTGTATTCCGCATCTCGTTTAGCTCCTTCGACACTAAATGAAAGACGAGTTTTTGAGTGAGGTTATTTCCTTTCATAAAAATAAACGTCGATCTTACCGTGCTAATTGTGTATCAAGGGCACTTGCTCGTCCTTCAGCACCTGATAACACAACGCGTAATTCCGATATCATTTGATTTGCACCTTCAAGTGCTAATTCAACGTTTCGTCGTTCCTCAATTGCTTTACGTTCTAAAAATTAATCAAATAAAACTCAAGTCATTGTTCTCTTTGGGA